TTCCTCCCCCGACTCTGGAGACGGAGACGGAGCTGAAGCTGCTCCTGGTGCCCCCGCCACCGCCTCCCACGATGGCAGAGCCCGAGCTGAAGCCCCTCATGCCCCCTCCGGTGGATGATCGGAAAGAGATCCGGCTCATGGTGGCTGCAGACGCAAAGAGCGGGGAAAGAAAAAGGGCCGGAGAACCGAAGCTGCGCGGCAGGGAAAGAGCAGAGGGCGAGGGAGGCAGAAACCCCTGTGATGGGAGAGCTCGGGAGCCTCCTCTTTTATCTGCTTGGAAAACTTGGCACGGGGATTCGGGACTTGATGTGCCTTGCAGCGACTTGCCTCGTCCAACACACCTCGGCTGCGGGAGGCGCTGAAAAATGCATTGTTTGCAGGCAGGGAAGTAACGGGCAGAGGGAGCTCCCCACCCCCCCAGCGCCTCTGAGTCATGGAATTAGAATTGAATGGGACCGGGGGCAGGATCCGACACGATTCCCGGGACCCTGGGAGCCGCTTTCCCTCAAGGGCTCGCTCGCTTGAGCAAGATCCCTCGCCCCGAAGGTTTTGCAAGAGGGGTTTTGGGGTTGGACACGTTTCGTAAGCGGCAGAAATCGGGGCTTTTCCAAGGTTTCCAGCTCCGGGGCTGGACGTGGGTCTCCCATTTGTTGGCTTGGGAAGTTGGGTGTGAAGGTGGTTTTGAGGATCAGAGCAGATAGTTTGATTATTTTTTGGGGGGGGATCAAATGGCAAAATCAGATTTGATTTTTTTGGGGTCTTTTTGGATCCGAGCGATCACGGGCTGGAGGGGATGAGCTGAGTGGGAGTTGCCTCCTGGCACTGGTTTCTGGGACCTTCCCAAGAAATCATCTCCCTCTTTTGCAGGGCAAACCGAGGGATTAGTTCACTGAAGGTTTTGCAAGTTGGGGTTTGGGGTTGGACACGTTTCATAAGTGGCAGAAAATGGGGCTTTTCCAAGGTTTCCAGCTCCGGGGCTGGACATGGGTCTCCTGTTGTTGGCTTGGGGAATTGGGTGTGAAGGTGGTTTTGATGAGCAGAGCAGATGTTTCGATTTTGTTTGGGAAAATCAAATGGAAAAATCAGATTTGATTTTTTGGGGGGTTTTTTTGGATCCAAGGGATCAGGGGCTGGAGGGGATGAGCTGAGTGGGAGTTGCCTCCTGGCACTGTTTTCTGGGACCTTCCCAAGAAATCATCTCCCCCCTTTGCAGGGCAAACCGAGGGATTAGTTCACTGAAGGTTTTGCAAGTTGGGTTTTGGGGTTGGACACGTTTCACAAGCGGCTGAAATCGGGGCTTTTCCAAGGTTTCCAGCTCCGGGGCTGGATGTGGGTCTCCTGTTGTTGGCTTGGGAAGTTGAGTGTGAAGGTGGTTTTGATGAGCAGAGCAGATGTTTCAATTCTTTTGGTTTGGTTGGGGTTTTTTTTTGGGAAAATCAAATGGCAAAATCAGATTCTGTTTTTTTAAGGGATCTGAACGGTCGCAGGTTTGAAGAGATGAGCTGAGGGGGAGTTGCCTCCTGGCCCTATTTTCTGGGACCTTCCCAAGAAATCCTCACCCCTCGTTGCAGGGGAACCCGAGGAATCAGTTAACACGACTCTGAAAGGCAGCAGGCGAATCCCTTTTCCAGAGTCACTTCAAACTGGATTAAACACCACCACGAGACTCACAAAACAGCCAGTCAAGAGCTGCTTGGAAGGATTGTTGCTCTGTAGGTTCCCCCTGTCAGGCCCAGGGTTCAAAAGCTCCCTCTGAAGTGGGATTTTTATCACGTTCTTCCGCCCCCCCCTCTGTATTTATCCAACAGTTCCCACGTCAGTGCTGGAAAATGTTTCTAAAATAGCTTTTGCCTCTTGATCTTGGCCCGGGGTGAACCCTGAGGAGGAGCTTGAACCCCCCCAGTGAGTCTGGGTCGTGCTTTGGGACGGGGCAAGAGCTGGGGATCCTTCTCCTGGATCCATGAACAGCTGGATGTGGGACACAAGGCAGATTCCCCCTCGCTGCCACCCAAAACACCTCCCAAAATGTTCCAGTGAACTGGATCCTTCCCACCTTGGCCGGGTGATAAAACAGCGACGGGCTGAGGGATGAAACCCTGAGCTCCTAAACCAAAAACTCATCCTCAGATTCATCTACACGAGCAACAAAAATCTCCTAAACCAAAAACTCATCCTCAAATTCATCTACACGAGCAACAAAAATCTCCTAAACCAAGAACTAATCCTCAAATTCATCTACACGAGCAACAAAAATCTCTCCAATTCACCGACGTGAGCAATGAAAAAAAAAAACCCTCCCGAATTCACCAACGTGAGCAACAGAAAAAAAAAAATCTCCAAAATTCACCAATGTGAGCAATAAAAAGGAAACCTCCCAAATTCAGCAATGGGAGCAATACAAAAAAGAAAATATCTCCCAAATTCACCAACACGAGCAATAAAAAGGAAACCCACCCAAATTCACCAACATGAGCAATAAAAAAGAAATCCACCCAAATTCACCAACGTGAGTAGTAAAAAAGAAAACCTTCCAAATTCAGCAACGTGAGCAGTAAAAAAGAAACCCTCCCAAATTCAGCAACGTGAGCAATAAAAAAGAAACCCTCCCAAACGTGAGCAATAAAAAAAAAATCTCCTGAATTCAGCAACGTGAGCAATAAAAAAAAAAAGCCCTCCCGAATTCACCGACGTGAGCAATCAGCGCTCCAAAAGGAGCAGCTCAAGGGGATCGGCTGCGTCTCGGAGCTTGTTTGTGTTGATGCGTTTCCAGCCCCCGCCGTGTTTTTTTTTCCAGTCTGGGAACTTGAAAGGGCCTGAGCGGCCGGG